GTCTGGGACCGCTTCTGGTAGTATACTAGTCGCCGAGAGCGGAATTAAAGTCGGGGAAACGTAGATTCGGGTAAGCCAGAACTCGGGCTTGCCGAAGTTTTTTGATGAGCGCGTCCTGGATTTTGACAATCTGGTTTCCGTGTGATGCTTGCAGTGGGAGCTCGCGTCAAATATCAGATTGGGTCTCGTCATTTTCATGATGGCCCCGTCAGGCCATCCCGAGTCCCCCGTGCCCGAGTCTTACGTCTCCCTGAGACAGGGATGAAGAGAGCAGCGGCCGTTGGGTTCCGTTCCCTGGTCTCCACCTCAACTCGCCCTCATTCATTACCAGTTCCTCTCCTCCTCTTCTGACCTCTTCCCATATGCTCGTACCCCACTCCCCGTCGCAATCTCATTCTTAGCAACATTGTCGTTCCACCCGCTGCTGTAGTTCATGTTTTTTATCCTTCATCCGATTGCCGACTTGACACGTCCTGCACTGAACATTGTCCACCAGTTTTTTTCTATAGATTTACCTATACGACCACCCTTCGGGTGATAAGGAGGTTCGGGGGGGGGAACCAACGTCTCACTCGATCGGTCTCACTATCGATCTCAGTATCGATCTCACTATCGGTCTCGCTCGATCGATCTCACTCGATCGATCTCACAATCGATCTCACTCGATCTATCTCATTCGATCGATCTCACAATTGATCTCACAATCGATCTCACAATCGATCACACAATCGATCTCACATTCGGTCTCAATATCGATCTCACTATCGATATCACAATCGCTCTCACAATCAACGTCATCATCATCATCATCATCATCATCATCATCATCAACATCATCAACATCAGCATCATCACCAACATCGTCATCATCATGAGGGCACCGTCATCATCATCATCATCATCATCATCATCATCATCATCATAAACATCATCATCAACGTCAGCATCATCATCGGGACAACATCATCATCATCACCATCATCATCTCATCATCATCATCATCATCATCATCATCATCATCATCATCGGGACACAGTCATCGTCATCATCATCAGCAGCATCATCATAATCATCATCATAATCGGGACACCATCATGATCACCATCGTCTTCATCATCAACATTATCATCAACATCGTCATCATCCTCGGGACACCATCATCATCATGATCATCGCATCATCATCGACATCATCATCATCAACAACATCATCATCATCATTCGGGGCACCATCATCATCATGAGCAACATCATCATCATCAACATCGTCATTATCATTATTATCATCATCGGGACACCATCAGCATCACCATCATCATCATCACCATCATCATCATCAGCATCATCATCGGGACAACCATCATCATCATCAACATCATCATCATCATCATTATCGCCGGGACACCATTTCCATCAACATCATCATCACCAACATCATCGGAATCATCATCATCAACATCATCATCATCATCATCATCCATCATCATCATCGGGACACCATCATCGTCATCATCATCAACATAATCATCATGAGCATCATCATCCTCATCATCGGGACACTATCATCGTCATCATCATCATCGACACCATCATCAGCATCATCATCATCATCATCATCATCTTCATCGGGACACCATCACCATCATCTCATCATCATCATCATCATCATCATCATCATCATCATCATCATCATCTCATCATCATCATCAATCATCATCAATCCTCATCGCGGGACACCGCGGGACACCGGCGGGACACCGCGGGACACCGCGGGACCGCGGGACACCGCGGGACACTGGCGGGACACCGCGGGGCCCCGGCCGCCCGGAAGGGCATCATTTGGTCCGGCCGCGCCTCAGCCACCCGGGACACCAGCGGGACACCGGCGGGACACCGCGGGGCCCCGGCCGCCCGGAAGGGAATCATTTGGTCCGGCCGCGCCTCAGCCACAGGAGACTTTCTCTCGCCCGCCCACGGAGCTTCGCCTCGCCCGCACGGCACGCACGAACACGAAACCGAAATCGATTTCCCGGTAGGGGGGCTCGCCGTTCCAATTCGATCTCACCCCCTCACCTCCGATTTTCTAAACGGAGCAGCAGATCATGTAAGTGAAGGCCTGGGGAGTTCAGGGCGCGCGAGGTGCTGACGCCGCCTCTCATGAAGTTCCTCGTGCCGAGAGCGTGTGCCAAGAAGGCGGGCAGGTGCAGGGGGTATCAGCCACGCGCAGAAGGGGGGTGGGGGGAGGGGGGATGGCTTCTTAGAAGCACCCCTGCTCCTTAGAAGGCGTGGGCCTCATCTGTAGATGCAGGGCTGCCGCCTTCTAACAAGCAGCCTCCTTCTAAGAAGCCCTTCCCCCCTCCCTCCACCCCCTTGTGCGCGCCGCCAAGGGTATCCTGGAAGGCGGTGATGAGCACGGCCACCTGCTGCTTCACAATGCTAGCGTCGAGCCTGGCCAGAGCGTTGCGATGTTCTCTTCGTTCGGTTGGGCCTCGGCATGTGGTTTAGCATGGTCCCCAGCCCAAATCCAGGCATGTTTCTTGAGCGTGGGCAGAGGGGATTCTGGCATTCACGGCAGCAAAGGCGGAGAAGGGGAGTGCAAGGGGCGTGTCTCGCAGACACGTTTTTTTGTTCTCTTGGGGAAGAGAAGTGCAAGCTTGCCTGCTGTGAGGCCAACGCGCTTGTATTCGTATCCAGGCGCGGAGCTAGACAATGCCCTCCCTCTCCAGGGCATGTTCGAATATTCTCTTGCGTAGGGAGGATCAGGGATCCCGCCGGGGCTCTGCAGGCGGTGGACCCACTCCAGGGGTGGTTCTTGGAGTTTGTCAACAAGTACAAGCTGTGGTATCTCGGCTGGCAGGCGGTGGATGGGCTCCCCTCTCCGTGCCTCTGCGCCTTTGCTGCACCCTTTCTGCCTGTCCATTCTTTCTCCACACCTCTCTCGCCCTGTGCATGTCCCATTGCCCGGTCCTCCCCCTCCCCTGCCCCTCCTCCTCTTCTTGTCTCTCTCTCTCTCTCTTTTTTCTCCCTCTCTCTCTCTCTCTCTTTCTGCCCATGCTGTGTCCCTAAACCCTGCCCGTGCCGCATGCCGCTGCACCTGCCCCTGCCCCTCTAGCCCATCCAGCTCCTTCTGCCCATCCTGCGCATCCTTCCCTTTGCCCTGCTCCGCTGCTGCGGAGGCTGAGGCGAAGGCCTGCGCAGAGCCTCGGTATGGTGTGGCGCTCTGAGGTGTGCGTATGCGTGTGCGTGTGTGTTGTTATGTGTGCATGTGCGCGTGATCTGGCCCGGCCCGCGCGCGCCGCTCGCTCGGCCTGCTGTACGCCGAGCCGCTGCGCGCGTGGCCGCGGAGCCAAAACAAGTGTGTGTGTGTGTGTGTGTGTGTGCGTGCTTGTGCTTCTGCATGTGTGGGTCAGGTCAAGAGTGGCCTTTCCGCCTCGTGCCTGTCCTGAGGCGCCCGCTGCTGGGCGGTGGTCGCTCCACCAGGCCTGCCCAGGCATGCGCTTTCCGCCCGGCTGCGCGCCGGGGCGCGCTTCCCTTCCGGCGTGGTCGCTCTCCCAGGCTCGTCTGGGTAGGCACCTCGCCGCGCTTTGGGCTCGGCGCTGCCTTTTTATTGCTCTGGTGACCTCTTTTTGTTTCCCCCTGGCGATGACGGGCGTGGACAGGGGGGGGAGGGGGGGAGGCCGGTCACGTCACGATTGCCGCCTGCGCCGTCTGGGGATGCCTGACAAGAATGGCTCATTCCCAGGCGGCGGCGGCGGCGCGAAGCGTGACGTGACCAGAGGGGACGGAGGTAAAGTTGGGGGACGGGGCCGGTCATGGGCGTTATCGGGAATAACAGGTAACCCGGACCCCCGACGGCGTGATTTTTTTCCGCAGCGCGGACCCCCCGAGGCCTGGACCCCTTCTCCGGGACTGTTTTTTCTCATCCCGAGTCGTTTTTTGACGGTCCCAGGGCCCGGCGAGGGCCCCCAGAGGCTGGGAGTCTGAAAAAACTGCCCGTCGTGTTTTTTGTTTCGCAGCGCGAGGGGATCTGGGAACGGGCTCTTGGCAAGCTTCGCGCTGTGCGCGTCCCTCCCGCTGCCTGTCCGCCTCCGGAGCACCTGCCGCCGGTGGTTGCGCGTGCCCCCCAGCCGCGGGGCTGCGCGGGCGCCGTCTCCCTTACGTGGGTTGCTCGTCGCCTCTCTTGCGCACAAGGCTGGTCGTGGCCTCCCCGCTTTGCTGTCGTCCTCCACGCAGATTTCCGAAGCGGGGATGGATCCACAACCACCGCCTAGCAGATCGATATTCGGGGACATCGGCAGGCGGTGGGTTTGGTTTTGGACAAGGATGTGCATGCGGATATTATGGGTATGGATATGCATACGGGTGTGGCTATGGATAGTTGCTTGGATATGCAAAGATGTGTACATGTATGAATGAGAGACCGCGTTTCACGGGCGCTTGCCTTGGGAACATTCGGCGGCGAATTTGGAACCCGGGGGTGGCCCCCCACCCAACACTCGGCGCCGTCGATCAAAACCAGGGGGACTCCCCTCCTCCCCCCCCTCCCGAACCCCCCCCCCTCCCCCCAACCCTCCCCCCTTCGGCGCCAGCGCCGCGGCCGCCAGCAGCGCCGACGGCGGGGACGCAGCGACGATGACCAGAGGCAGCCCAAGGGGGGGGGGTTCAAACCCGCCCCCCCCCCTTTGGCGCCGGCGCTGGGGCTGGCGGCGGCCAGCAGCGCCGCGCTGGCGTCGGCGACGGCGGGGACGCAGCGACGATAATCACCACTACCACCACCACCATCAGTACCACCACCACCACCGCTTCAACCCACCACCACCACCAACCCACCACACAACCACCACCACCACCACAGCCACCACCACAACCACCACACCACAACTCACCATCACCACCACCACCACCACCACCACCACCACAAAAACCCACCACCACTACCACCACCACCAGCACCACAATTGTACCACGCCACCACCACCACCGCCACAACCACCACCTCTACCAGCAGCACAACCCACCACCACGACCACAAACCACCACCCGCACCACCACCACCGCCACCACCTCCACCACCAGCAGCACCACCTTCACAATCCACCACCACCACTACAAAACACTACCACACCACCACCAAACCACCACCACACCACCACCAAACCACCACCACACCACCACCACAACCCACCACCACCACCACCACAAACCACCACCACACCACCACCACCACACCACCACCACCACCACCACCACCACGCACCACCACAACCACCACCACCATCAGTACCACCACAGCACCACCACCGCAACCACAGCCACCGCCACCACCACCACCGCCACCACCACCACCACAACCCACCATCACCACCACCGTCGTCCTCGTCGACGCTCCCCGCCGCCGCCGCCCGCCGCCGCAGGCGCAGGCGCCGGCCTAGAAGAGGAAATCGTCGTCCCTGCCGCCGCCGCCAGCCGAGGAGAGGGAGAGAGGAGAAGCAAGTGAGTGGGGTGGGGGTCCGTTTCCAATCCCCCGTCCAAGCGACCACAGAACGCGCTCTTTCGTATGTATGCATGTCTGTCTGTATGTATGTATGGAATTCTGTGAGTAAGTCTGCATGTATGTATGCACGTTTGTATGTACATGTGCACATGTGCATGTATGCGTTGATGCATGTGTGCATGTTTGTTTGTATGTCTATATGTCTGTCTGTATGCATGTATGCGTGAATTCGTGTATGCTTACACGTGTAGACATATACATATACATATACATATGCATACAGATGTATGGTTATGTCTATATGCGTGTGCGTGTGTGTAAGTACGAGTTTGCTTGTTTGGGTGCGCATATCCATAGGTCCATGTATATGTATATGTATATGTACCCGTATTTGTATATGCGTATGCATATGTATCTGTATGTGTATACGTATATGTCTATGTTTATGCATACGCATACGTATGTACATCTGTATACGGATATCTAAATATACATGTTTATGTACATGTATATGTCGATGAATCTAACACTGTCCATTTCTATGTCTATGTATTTGTACAGGTGTACGCATATATATATATATATATATATATTTGGCTATGTAACTGTATATATAAACGTTTATGTCTGTGTGTATGTACGTGTATATGTATGTGTGTATATAGATGGTTATGCATATGTGTATGTGTATATACATGCGTATATATGTATATATATACATACATATATATACATATACACATATGTATACATACATATATATATACACATACACACATACACACATATGTGTATATATATATATATATATATATATAACAAGTACAGTTGCATATGTATGTGTGTGCGCATATGTATATACACATATATGTACATATGTATATATGTATCTAATGGCCTTCGGGTCATCCCGCCACCGCGCCCGGGTTGTGAGTGTAAAGCCTATTGGCGGTTCGTTGGGATCTCGTGGGCGTCTTTTCGGGGGCCTCTTGGATGCAGTTTTGAGGCCTCTTGGGGGCCGTTTCGGGGCATCTTGGGGGCCTCTTTTGGGTTTCTTTGGGGCCTCTTGGGGGCCGTCTTGGAGGCCTCTTGGGGGCCTCTTGGGGACCTCTTGGGGCCTCTTGGGCGCCTCTTGGGGCCTCCAGGGGACCATTTGGAGCAGACGGCTCGGATTTTCGGTTGGTGTTCCCTCTCTTGAACCTCCTGGGGCCGTCTTGGAGCCCTCTTAGGCCGTCTTGGGCGCCTCTTGTGCCGTCTTGTGGCGCCCTTAGGCCGTCTTGGATCCTCTTGGAGGCCTCTTGAGCCGTGTTGGGGTATTTTGCCGTCTTGAAGCGTCGGAAAGCCCAACATGCGAGAACGCCCGAATCCTTCAAAAACTTTAAGAGGATCAATGATTTTTGCCTCTTGGGGCTCCTGTGGGAGGCCTCTTGGAGGCCTCCTGTGGCGTCTTCGAGGCCTCTTGGGTCATCTTGAGGCCATCTTGCCCGTCTTGGAGCGATCTTGGGGCGACTTGGGCCCTCTTTGACTATTTTGGGTGCCTCTTTGAGCCATCTGGGCTCGTTGTGGGGCCCTCCTGGGCGGGGCAGGCCGACACCAGCGATTCCAGCAGACCCCGGGCCGGCTCAGCAGACCCCGGGCCAGTCGGCCGGCCCAGGAAACGATGGGTCCGGGCTCGTAGAGGTTTACAGTTCTGGCTTCAGCAGCAGCACAGCATGCGCCTTGGGGTATGCCATGTCATGCCAGAGGCACGGTGGCGGATATATGCGTACATGCTTTCTATCTATCTATCTATCTATCTATCTATCTATCTATCTATCTATCTATATATCAGTCTATGTATGTATCTATCTATCTATCGATCTATCTATCTATCTACCTATATATATTTATCTATCTGTACACATATGCATACGCACGTCCGTCTGTCTATCTGTCTGTCAGTCTGTCTGTCTGTCGGTCTGTCTGTCTGTGTGTCTGTATTTCGAAGGACTTACGGCTGGTGCCGCCGACCCTGAATGGCGACGACGACGACGACGACGACGAGCGCTTTCGGAGGCCTCTTGGGGGTAGTTTTGGGGCCTCTTTGGAAGCTCTTGGGGGCCGCTTGGAAGCCCCGTGGGGGCCTCTTGGTGGTTCGCCCGCCGTTTCAGCGTCGCGTTTTCTTGCGCGCTGCTCCGCCGCGCCTCCGCCGCCCGCGGCCCCTGCCCCGCTCGCTGCCCCGACGCCCCCCCACGCGGGCCGCTGCCCGCGTTCTGCCCCGCCGCCGCCGAGCCACTGCGCCGTTAGCGGCCTGCCGTCTTCCCTTTTTCTTTCTTCCCGACGGCACTGCGTGCGCGCGCGGCTTTGGCCCTGCGAGCGCCCGACGCGCTGGCGAGTAGCTGCGCCGCTGCGACCGAGCAGTGTGTGTGTGTGTGTGTGTGTGTGTGTGTGTGCGTGCGTGTGCGTGCGTGTATGTTTGCGTGTGTGTGTGCGTGTGTGTGTGTGTGTGTGTGTGTGTTTGTGTGTGTGTCGCATCCATTGACGCGCAATGTTCCGAAGCCAGCTCGGAAGACAGCAGCGTGCCGAAGGCCGATTACATGTGCACCGAGGCCCATCGAGACCCATCAAGTTGCAGTTCTTTTTTGTTTTTGTTTTTTTGTGTGTGTGTGTGTGTGTTTGTGTGTGTGTGTGTGTGTGTGCGCGCGCGTGCGTGCGTGCGTGCGTGCGTGCGTGCGTGCGTGCGTGCGTGTGTGTGTGTGTGTGTGTGCGTGCGTGCGTGCGTGCGTGTGTGTGTGTGTGCGTGCGCGTTACGCTGCGTGAGCTGGTTCGGCCCGCGCGCTCCCTGCTGACTTGACCGCCGCAGCGCCGCCGCGCGAGATGGCCGTGCAGCTCCCCGCGTGGAGGGTCGGCATGGCGGAGCCTGTCTGGGCCCGCGGTCTGCGGTGCACCCGCGCCCGAGCGCCAACAGCGCCGAGCACTCGAGCCCGACCCTGGCACATCCCGAGGCCGTCCGTCCTGTGGCCCCCCCTTCTTCTTCTTCTTCTTCTTCTTCTTCTTCTTCTCCTTCTGCCCTCGTGCCCCCCCTCCCCCTCCTCCCGCTCCACCACCGCCTCCTCCTCCTCCTCCTCCTCCTTGCCCCCCGGCCCTCCAGTATCCCCCCCTCCGCCCCCCTTGGTGCCCACTCCGTTCCGCCCGCGCCCCGCCGCACCGCTCGACCGCCCGCCGGGCCCGGCCCGCCGCGGGGCAAGAGGCCGCCCCGGCCCACGGCGGCAGGCTCTCCTCGCGCTCGCCAGCGCCCCGGTCTGTCGCGGTCCCCGTCCGCGAGGCTCCCCGTCGGCCGAGGCCTCGCCTCGGCCGCGCCCCCCGCGGTCGCCGCCGAGCCGACCGACGCCGCGTCCTCCGCCCGCGTCCTCCGCGGCGCCCGAGGGAGCCGTGCCCGTCTTCCACAACGCCACGGGCGAGTTCGTGGCGGCGTTCGCCACCTCGGGGGCCACGGGCGACCAGGACCAAGTTCCTCGTCCCGTGCATGGCGCTCCTCCGTTCCTCGGTCGGTCCATCGTCTTCCTCGTGTGCGTCCGCTCGCTTCGCGCTTCCTGTGCGTGTCTCCCCCGCGCTCCCTCTCGTTCTCCTCTTCGCTCGTTCTCCGTCTTTCGCTCTCCGTCTCCTGCTCTACCTCTCTCTCCCTCTCTCTACATAAATATCTCTCTCTCTCTCTCTCTCTCTCTCTCTCTCTCTCTCTCTCTCTCTCTCTCTCTCTCTCTCTCTCTCTCTCTCTCTATATATATATATATATCTTTCTTCCTCTAATTAGCTCTCCCTCTCGTTCTTTTTTTGTTGCTTTTTCTATTCCACTCTATGCTTGTTTTCTCTCCTCTCTCTCTCTCTCGCTCCCAGTTCCTGTCTCTGGTTTGATCTACATGTGTATATCTAGATCTATCGCTCGCTCTCTCTCTCTCTCTATCGTCTCATCCTCTGTCCCTGCGTCCCTCTCTGTCCACCTGTGCCGCCGCGCCAATCCGCCGCCGCGCTCTGGGGGCGCCCGGGGAAGGGGGGTTTCAGCGGAGGCGGCGCGCGACGGCAGGGCACGAGGAACGCCGCCTGGAGCAAACGCGAGCACCGGCCCTGAGAGGGAGAGCCATCAGCTGCCGAGGAGCACGAGCTGCACCCAGCGGCAGAGTGCCCCGATGGGGCACTCCGCGGGGATCGCCTCGGCCCCGGGGGCCGTGGGAGGCGTGCCTCCTCGGGGGGGGACGGGGGGCACGCGGCGCCGCACATCCGCAGCACCGACTTCGGCGTCGTGCCCTGCGCACCGGGCAAGCAGCGCCGCAAAGACTCGGCCCGACGCGTCGCGGGCCCCCCTGGCTATTGTTCTGGACCTCCTGGATGGGCTCGGAGTAGATGGGGTCGGAGGATCGCGCCGCATCGCCGATGTATCGGCGATGCGGCTCGATGTGGGGCCCGATCTTCTCCACGCCAACGTCTCGGATGTATCGCCGACTTCGACCAGTGCATCGCCAGTGCATCGCCAGTGCATCGCCGATGCATCGCCGACGCATCGGCGATGCATCGGCGATGCGGCGCGATCCTCCGACCCAATCTGGGAGGCCTCTGATTGTTTGGCGGGGAGCGGTGCCAGAGGCCCAGCTCGCTCTCTCCTCTGACGCGCTGATGACGGCAGTCAGCGGGCGACGATGAGCAGTGTCGGGATGGGCGCGACGGGGAGTCAGACGAGCGCCAGAACAAGAGGGAGGGCCCGTGGGCTTTCCCTCTCTCTCTCACTCCTTCGGTCTCACCCACCTGCCGCTGTAAGTGCGGTGGCGAGCTTTTTTTTTGGTTGTTGTTTTTTTTGTCTCTCTCTCTCTCTCTCTCTCTGTCCATCCCTATCTCTCTTGTTCTGTGCCTCGCTCTCACTTCTCTTTCTCTTTCTCCTCCCTCTGTTGCTTTCGCCCTTTTCTATTCTTCATTATTAATATTTCTCTCTCTCTCTCTCTTTTTTTTTTTTGTTCTCTCTCTCTCTCTTGCTTTACTCCACATTTCTGTTTTACTGCGGCAAGTCCCGCACATTGGGTGGCGATTGACAGGAAGCCGTAACGCGTGTCACCCCCGGGTTCCTCGGGTTCCCTGCTTCCTCGGCTTCCCAGGATTCCTCGGGTTTCCCAAGCAATGCCAAGCAATGCCACGCAACGCGAAGCAAATGCCAAGCAGCGCGAAGCAAATGCGAAGCAACGCGAAGCAATGCCAAGCAATGCCAAGCTATGCCAAGCTATGCCACGCCATGGCAAGCACTGCGCCCACGCAGTAGGAAGCTTTCCCCTGATTGGGGTCGTGCCGGGTTCATCAGAGTTGGACCGAGGAGTCTCTCTCTTTTTGGGCTTCGCGGATACACCTGCTAAAGGCTCCTCCCCCCTTGGGAAGGGAAATTGGCCGTTGCTAGCCCTCCGGACTGGAGCCAAATATGCTGCGTCAGAGTTGCAATGACAACAATGACCATCCCACCTACCTACCCCTAGCTCCTCCTACGCTCCTCCTACGCTCCTACCTACCCCTAGCTCCTCTCCGACAGGGAAAGTTTGACCCAGCTGAGGTAGGATTCTATCAGAGCTGGATCGAGCCTTAATAGGACTCAAATAGAGATGGATCCAGTTATACCAGTCAGGTTCTGTCAGAGTATCGAGCCCGACTATGATGTTTTTATAGCTGGATCCAGCTGTAATAGGATCCCATTAGGGCTTGATCGAGCATTAATCGGATTCTATGAGAGGGAGAGAGGGGGGGGGCTGGTCCTCCAGGCGCTTCAAATGTTTAAGGGGGGGGGGGCACGGGCGGTTCAGAGGTGGCCAGTTTTTTTCCCCAAGCAAGCGTCAACGAAGCGCGTTCTCTCGGTTGTTCATTAGCAGCAGGAAAAGGGGGCCTTACGACGACGGCGACGACGACGGCGACGACGGCGATGACGACGACGACGGCGACGACGACGGCGACGGCGACGGCGACGACGACGACGACGATGACGACGTCGGCCACGACGAAGACGACGACGGCGACGACGACGACTGAGAAAACTACAGCATGAGCAGTTAAACTCGGAGGCCTGCAAGGACTTCTTGGGTCGGCGCTCGAGACCCCTCCCCGCATTCTTTCTTCGGTGGGCGATTCGCGCGGGGGGCGGCGGCGTAGGCGCCGCCGCGGGTGCAGGGAGGGGGTCCATCGACGACCCAAGAGATCCGCGCGGACCTCCGACACTTAATGCAGTGGTTTGTTTTTTGTTGTTTCTCCGAGAGAAGGAGTGAAACAAGGGAGGAGGAGGAGGAGGAGGAGGAGGAGGAGGAGGAGGAGGAGGAGGAGGAGGAGGAGGAGGAGGAGGAGGATGGGAGGAGGATGAGGGAGGAGGAGGAGGAGGAGGAGAGGAGGAGGAGGAGGGGAGGAGAGGAGGAGGAGAGAGGAGAGGTGAGGAGGCAGGAGGAGCAGAGGCAGGAGGAGGAGGGGGAGAGGAGGAGGAGAGGAGGAGGAGGAGGAGGAGGAGGGGGAGAGGGATGAGAGGAGAAGGGAGAAGGAGTGAGGAGGAGGAGGAGGAGGAGAGAGGAGGAGAGGGAGGAGGGGAGGAGGAGGAGGGAGAGGAGGAGGGGAGAGGGAGAGGAGGAGGGGAGGAGGAGGAGAGGAGGAGAGAGGAGGAGGAGGAGAGGAGGAGGAGAGAGGAGAGGAGAAGGAGGATGAGAGGTAGGCGAGGCGGAGGTGGAGGTGAGGCGGAGGCGGAGAGAGGCGGAGGCGGAGGAGGAAGGCTGACGAGGAGGAGATGGTGGTAGGATGAGGAGGGAGGAGGCGGATGAGTGAGGAGGAGGGAGGGAGAGGGGGATGAGAGGAGGATGAGGAGAAGGAAGGGGAGCAGTAGGAGCGGAGGTGAAGAGATGGAGGAGAAGGAGGGGAGGAGGCCGACGTGGATGACGTCTGACGTTGAGGGAAAGGGGATGATGAGGAGGAGGACAGAGTAGGAGGAGGAGGAGGAGGGGTGTTAAGCGAAAAGAAGAGAGGAGTAGGCGGAGGCGGATCAGGGGAGGGGAGGAGGAGGAGGAGGAAGAGGAGGAGGAGGAAAATGAGGAGGATAAGAGGAAAGCGGGAGGCCGGGAGGGACGGAGGAGCGGAGGAGGAGGCAGGAGGAGGAGCAGAGAGAGAGGAGATAGGAGGGGAGAAGAGGAGGAGAGAGGAGGAGGAGAGATGAGGATGATGGAATGCGGGAGGAGGCGGACATGAGAGGAGGATGTAGGCGGAGGCGAGGCGGAGGAGGATGAGGAGGAGAGGAGGAGGAGGAGGAGGAGGAGGAGGAGGAGGAGAAGAAGAAGGATGAAGTTGAAGAGAAGGTCGAGGGCTTACCGGCCAGCCCCCTCGGGGCCGGAGGACGAGGGCGCCATCGACATCGGCCTCGCCGCCGCGGGCCTGAAGCGGGTGGGCGCCCGCTGGCTGTGGTCCAGCCGGGAGGAGGCCCGTCCGCCGCGAGGGTCCTCCTCCTCCTCCTCCTCCTCCTCCTCGTGCTCCTGTTCCCTGCTCCTGCTCCTCCAACTCCCCCCTCTTCCCCGCCCCTTCCGCCTCCTCCTCCTCCTCTTCCTGCGGCTGCTGCTGCTGCTGCTGCTGCTGCTGCTGCTGCTGCTGCTGCTGCTGCTGCTGCTGCTGCTGCTCCTCGTCCTCCTCCTCCTCCTCCTCCTCCTCCTCGTCCTCCTCGTCCTTGTCCTCCTCCTCATCCTCCTTAGCCTCAGAATATCCAAGAGGCTTACGCCATGGGCCTCTTTTGGGCCTTCTGGGGGCCTCTTCGGGCCTCTTGGGAGTTTCTTGGGCGCCTGCTGGCGGTCTCGGGGGTCCTCTTGGGGCGGAGGGCTCGGAATGACAGTTCTGAGATGCCTCTCCTGGGCCCCTCTTGGGGCCCTGTTGGGACTCTCTTGGACCATCTTGGGCGCCTCTTGGGCCGCCTATGGACCCTGTTCGGCCGTCTTGGGACCCTCTTGGAGGCTTATCGGGCCGTCTTGGAGCGATCATGGGGGCCTCTTGAGCCGTCCTGGACACTGTTGAGATGCAAAATGCGAATATGGTCAGAGTGCACGTTTTCCCGCGAGATCTTGAGGATTCTTGCCTCTTGGGGCCCTCTTGGGGGTCGTCCTTGAGCAATGTTGGGGCGTCTTTGAGGCCTCTTGGGCAGTCTTATGGCTATATTGGTCGCCTTCGAGGGCTCCTGTGTTATCTTAGGCATTAACTTCCCCCTCCCCCGCGCCTTCCTCTTGCTGCTGCTTCTGCTGCTCCTCCTCCTTCTCCTCCTCCTCCTCCTCCTTCTCCTCCAGAATATTTGAGATCTTCAACTGCGCATGGGGTTAAAGCTTCGGTTTTACTGTAGTGTGGGCACGTTGCAAGTCAAGTCCTTGAACGCCTTGGGCAATAATGCCACAAAACTACAAATCTTCTAATCGAGTGCATTCGGGCAAATGGACGGAAGTTCGAAATTGGGCTGGGCAAATGGCCGAAAGTTTGAAATTGGGAGCTCTCCTCCCCTCCTCCTTCTTCTCCTCCTCCTCCTCCTCCTCCTCCTCCTCAATCGTCCTCCTCTCTCCCCCCTCCTCTCCCTCCTCTTCCACGCCAGTCCGTCGCGAGGGGGGGGGGGTACCGGCGGATGCGGCCCAGCCTGAGTCTCTACCCGTGACGTCTCCGGGGGCCCAACGAAAGTGTCACAGGGCTCTTCCTCCTCCTCCTCCTACTCTGCCTCCCCCCTCTCCTCTCCCTGCCAAGCGCGATCGAAAACCTCGATCCTCGAATTTTGAACCTCCCCGCGCCCTGGCCTGGGCCTCTCTCCTCGCCTCCATCCTCCTCCACTCTCCTCCTCCCTCCTCCTCCTCCTCCTCCTCCTCATCCTCCTCCTTCTCCCACAGGCGACGTGCACTCCTCCTGCTTCTCCCCTTTGCTCCTCTTTCTTGGGGCACTTCCGTGACGAAGGCATTTGACCGCGGAATTTTAGTGTCCGTCGATTCCCAGCAGTCGACTCATTCAAGTGACCTGTTGTGGAGGAGTGTTTGCGGTAAAACCTTCCCCTCTCTTCTTCCTGCTCTTTACCCTCCCCACTCTCCCTTCTTCTCCTTCTCACTTTCCCCGCCCGCTGGAGCCCCTGGGACAGCGTGCCCACAAGTTTCCGTCAGTCCCCTGTAGGTCGGGAGACACAGACAGACATCGACAATTCCTGGATAGCTCCTTGGAGAGCTAAGAGGGATGTTGGATAAGAAGCGGGTAGGCAGGGCTACGTCAGCTCATCGCCAAGGCTCCCGGGCAGGTATCCTCGCAGCGGGTTGCTTGAGCCGGCAACGTGTTCCGGCAAGCGTTTTCGTATTCGTTTCCAATCTAGTTTGTTGAAGCAGTTCCGCAGCCCCTTCGCAATTTCCTTTCCAAGGCTTGCAAGCTCCCCTGGCATTGCTGTCCAGCGTCCTGGCAAACGTCTCCCACACAGGTTTCCTGCGCTTTGGACAGCACCCAAGCTGCTCTGGGCAGGTGCGTCTTGGACAGCACCCAATCTGCTCTGGGCAGGTTCCCGGATAGCTCTCTGAAAGCTCAGAGGGCTTCATATTAGAAGCCGACAGCGCAGGGCAGGCCTTAAGCGTGTCCCGAGACGCGTTCTCCTACTCGTTCCCCAGACGCGTGCCTGAAGCCTTTCTGCAGGTCTTTCGCAGCTCCCTCGAAGCTCTTTCGATGATTGCTTTTCGAAACCTGTAAGCTCCGCAAGCATACTTTCGAGCGTCCCTACAAACTATCCTGGTTTTGGATTGCACAAGTTGTCAGGCCACGGTTCATCGCCTGTGTCAGCTTGGCTGGAGCCGTATTTCTCAACCATCCTGTGGTGTTTGTTATAGTTTTGAAGAGACAGCGCCCCGGCGTGACACACAGTGCCTCCCGCCCTCCTGTCCGATCTTCCTCCTCTTTCTCCTCCGCCTCATCATCCGCATCACCGTTATCACCATCAGCACCGACCCCATCACCGTCGACATCTGGATCATCGTCTTCAGTGTTCATCATCACATGTTTCGTGGCCTCACAGGGAACTCCGCCGACGGCCCCAGTGGCGCAGTTCGCATGGTGGCGTCGCATTCAGTTCGGCGCACCTCTCACACGTTTCCTGGCCTCATAAGGGGACTCAGCTGAAGATGCAGTGGCGCTGTTCGCATGGTGGCGTCGCAGCCGTTTCGGCGCACCCCTCACGCGTCTCGTGGCCCCACAGGGAGTTCCACCCAATTCCACAGAGGCCCCAGTGGCGCACTTCGCATGGTGGCGTCGCACCCATCCCGGCACACCCATCAAACGTTTCGTGGCCCCACGGGGAGCTCCACCTAAGGCCTCCATGGCGCAGTTCGCATGGTGGCGTTGCACCCATTCGGGCACATCAGTCACACGTTTCGGGGCCAATTGGGAGCTCCACCGACGGCCCCAAGGGCGCAGTTCGCATGGTGGCGTCGCACCATTTTCAGCACAACTCTCACACAATTCGTGGCCTCACAGGGAGCCCCATGTGGCGCAGTTCGCATGGTGGCATCGCTCCCATATCGGCACACCCCTCAAACGTTTCGTGGCCCCACAGGGAGCTCTACCCAATTCTAGACGCTTCGCGTAACCCAACCTGCCCATCCAGGAACGATGCCCAGGCGAGTTGCCCTGATCAGTGATGTGGAGAAGCATGCAGGGGAATCAATGACTTGGTGAGACGGAATACTCCAAGAGGATGATGATGCTGATGATGATGGGTGATGCTGATGCTGATGCTGCTGCTGCTGATGATGATGATGATGATGCTGGTGCTGCTGCTGATGATGATGATGAGGATGATGAAGATGATAATGATGATTCTGCTGATGATGATGATGAGGAGGAGGATGATGAGGATGATGATGATGATGATGATGATGATGATGATGATGACGATGATGATGATGATGATGATGACGATGCTGCTCCTGATGATGATAATGATGCTAATGCTGCTGCTGATGTTGAGGAGGATGAGGAGGAGGGGGAGGAGGGATGAGGAGGAGCGAGGAGGATGAGAGGAGGAGGAGGAGGGGGATGAGGAGAGGAGGAGAGAGGAGGAGGAGGAGGCGGAGGAGAGGACAGGAGGAGAGATGAGGAGGAGGAGGAGGAGGAGTCAGAAGAAGAAGGAAGATGGGGGGGAGGAGAGGAGAAGAGGAGGAAGAGGAGGTAAGTAGTAGTAAGAGAGAGTAGTGAGTAGTAAGTAGTAGTAGTCGTAAGTAGTAGTCGTCGTCGTCGTCGTCGTCGTGTCGTCGTCGTCGTCGTCGTCGGCGTCGTCGTCGTCGTCGCAGTATTATAACAGTAGTAGTAGTAGTAGTAGTAGAGTAGTAGTATGTAGTAGTAGTAGTAGTAGTAGTAAGTAGTAGTAGTATTCGTAGTAGTATAGTAGTCAGTCGTAAAGTAGTAGTGAAGTAGTAGTAAGTATAGTAGTGTTTAGTAGTATAGTAGTGTTAGTAGTAGTAGTAGTGGAATAAGGATACGAGTACGAGTACAGTACGAGGAGGATACGCCAGTACGAAGTATAGAATAGTAGTATAGTAGTTGTAGTATGTAGTATAGTATTTCGTAGTTTTTTCTAGTAAGTTGTAGCAGTATGCAGTACTAGTACTCGTAGTAGTAGTAGTAGTAGTAGTAGTAGTAGTAGTAGTAGTAGCAGTAGCAGTAGTAGTAGTAGTAGTCGTAGTAGTAGAAGGAGAAGTAAACGTATAAGTAGAAGTAGAAGTAGTAGTAGTAGGAGTAGGAGTAGGAGTAGAAGCAGTAGTAGTAGTAGTAGTCGTAGTAGTAGTAAATGGAGTAGTCGTATAACTAGTAGTAGTAGGTGTAGTAGTAGTCGTATTATTTTCCTTTCTATTCTTATTTGTCGTAGTAGCAGTAGTAGGACCCGTAGCGGTAGGAGTAGTAGCAATAGTAGTAGTAGTAGTAGTAGTAGTAGTAGTAGTAGTAGTAGTAGTAGTAGTCGTAGTAGTAGTAGCCGTATTCGTAGAAATAG